GCTTTTTGTTGATTGGAAACATTCCCAAATCTTGTGTTTTTGATAGTTGTTTCGCAAGACTTATCTTTTATTGAGTATATTTATGAACTACTTGTATATGATTAGTGGAATTATGTAGGAGTTCATTCCTTTAGCTGCTTTGCTTGTCCATGCTCCAGTATTCGGGTACTCAGTACACTGATATGGAGTGTTTCTGTGAATTATATGTTTAGTAACTGTATATTGGCTGCATTGCCCGTTTGAGTTCTATGTTTAACCTCGGGTGCTCGTGTACATGGCACATATAATAATATGGATATTGATAGTTTATGCTTCAAACTGTACCGATATATAGAATCATAATTGTAGAGTGGCCATTGGTGAATTAGTGAACATTACATACAAGCTGTTATGTTTCTATAGATTCGATTGGACTCCTGTATGCTCAACATTTCGCAAAGAATATCTTGTGTGCTGTATATGCTCAATTATGGGTTGAGTCCTGAATGGAGTTTTGTTCAAATGTTAATTTGTTTGGAAAATTGCTTGTAGGTTCTTGTTGATGCACCCGATATGGTAAGGGGTCAAATGAACTTGAAGAGGCTCTCTTTGACAGATATCAAGGTTGAGATTGAGAAGTCACCAAAGAAGAAAGCCTTGGTTGAAGCTATGGAGGCTGCTGGTAGGGTTCCTTTGGTCTCGTATTGGTGTTTTGCCGTTTTTGCCTTTTGTTTGTTTTGTGATTTAATTGGAATGATTTTGCAGATGTTAAGAACAAGTGGGAGAACAGTTCATGGGGTAGGAAGTTGATCGTCCAGAAGAGAAGAGCTGGTCTTAACGACTTTGACAGATTCAAGATCATGTTGGCCAAGATTAAGGTTTGTGTTTCTATCCATCCTACAATCCCAATGTTTGCCAAGATTAAGGTCTGTGGTTTTACTGATTCATCTGTCATTCTGTTCTACTTGTGCAGAAAGCTGGCTCAGTTAGGCAGGAGCTTGCAAAGTTGAAGAAATCGGCTGCATAAAATGTTAGGAATCAAGATTTTGTTATCTCTGGTTCATTGCGTTTTGATATTTAAGATTTAGAAAATTTTGATCGACTTTATATTTTGTGAAGTACCTACTTGATAGCAATGGCATCTCATTTCTACTGTCTTGGTTTTGTAACGAATACTCTTTGCCTGAGTAATGAATTTAGAAATCTGCTGTTTGGAAGAGTTTCTAGAATTTCGACTTCTAAGTTATTTTCTGGTACTTTTTCTTTGGTATCAACTTCATTGGTTTCTCTGTACCGTTTTATATGGATCAGACATGCAGACTCACGTGGCTGTGTTAGGACAACTAGCAGGAGTGGCTGTGCTCCTGTGCTGAGTGATTTTGGCTTGCATATAGGTTCAGTTCACTAGTTGTCTTAGAGAGGTTGGCTATTCGACACTGTTTATCATTGCTTTTGATTGTAGAGATCAAGAACATGCTGTTTAGTTTACATTTTTCATATACATCAGAAGGGAGGGGTATTCGTCAAGTGCCATTTTAGTTAGGCTTTATTCGTTGTGACATGATTACGTTGAAGTCCTCTTAAACCTTGGCAAGGGAAGTTGGATTTGACTCTGTGGAGTGGAACAAGTTTTTGAGTTTTCTTATTCACACTGCCGATTACTTGTATTCTTCGTATACGAGTAAACATATGAACAAATCCTTCTCCGTGGTTTCGTACCTTCCCTTTTTTCTACCTAGGTTAGCTACCACCATACTAGTACATTGATCATTGCCTATGTACTGAATTTCTAATCTGCATGCTTATATTTTCTAACGGGCAAGCCCTAGTTTCTCTTCTTGAGAAACAATGATTGTTTCTCTAGTGGCAAATTCTGTAAATAAGAGCAAAATTGTCAATATTATATTATTTTTTGTTGCTGACTCACAGACAAAAAAACAATTACCTCTTTTTTTCTCTTTCTCTCGTCCTCCCTTCTTCATTTTTCCTTACTCATCACTTGTCAACAATGGCTCATCAACAATGGCAGATTATGTCTAATTAACACCCCAAGAAACCTCATCCCAACACTACAACAAACCCTAGCCCCAACACCACTTTCGCGGCTAAGTCGCCGAATTTAGCGAAAAACCCTAGGAAAAAGATTGAAATTAAGGACATGATTAATCCCTAAATGATAGGTGTTTGACGTATGCTTGAGCTTTCCCTCCTCCATTGAAGCTACTCCATAATTATTGTGAAATAGAATTTGATGATTAACCATTAACACTAGATTGTTAATTATTTTTTTTTATTGAGTGAGAAAAGCTAGGTTAGCCCCTTTGATTGGAGATACCTAAAGCATCCTTTTGGATGATAAGGGAGAGGGATGAAAACGAGATTTGATTTTGGGTTTTGGACACCACTGTCAACTTGTCAAGACTTACTAGTTGACTCAAAAATCGAACTCTTTGAATTGTCTTAGGTCATGAAGATGAGAAAACGCTTGCTTTTTTAATAAAAAAAATATCTTCAATCAATTTACCTTAATGTAGAGAGTGAGGGATAGCTAAAGTGGTTAGAGTTTCCTTCCCGATTTCAGGAGATCTTGGGATCGATTCTCACCCCTACCCTTGTGACTCTCTTAACACCAAAAAAAAAAATTACTTAACATACCTAAAATTAAATGTATCTAAAGTATCACCTAAAAAAACCACATTAAAAGCATTTTTCGGCTACTATTTTTCTAACTTTATGCTAACTCTCCAATTTCAACCAAAGTTTTAGCTACTAATTAATTCTAGCGACTTATAATATTTTCTTAACTGTTCCATATATGTCATGAGAATTCAAATTGTAGTTGGGGTAAATTTGAAAGCTCACTAGTGTCTACCCGTACTCCATTGACTTATAACACTTGTCAATATAGCTTTGATAGTTACTAACTCTAAAAATTATAAATACGGAATTGTTGATATTATAAGACAAAGTTAACAAAATCTCACTATAACGAAGTAATTTTTTATGTGTACAAAAGTATAACATATCAAAGGTGAAAGTGAATAATATGAATAGCGGCTAAAATCAATACGTAAAAAAGAAGAATTATACTCCGTATTGTGAATTTATTGATTTATATCTCCCTAAAATCTAAATCTTCCTATTTTCGGGTAACAATTTAGAAAAAATAAAATCATGGTTATGAAAGCTGATTCATTGCTTTTCATAGCTTATTTTGAACACAAGCAATAAAAATAAATAAATTAAAGTTGCCTTCATATTTTAAGTTGCAAGTAAATGAGTAATTCATTTCAAATGAAAAAGGAAAGAATAGCCTTATTAGTCCCTTAAATAAAATTATTATTGTATGATTTCCTGCAATAAACATGCCACATTAAAAGCACTTAAACATTGCTTAAACAGCAGGTTATAAAAACATTAGACTTTATTATAAAGTTTCACAAATATCACGTTAACAAGGGAAGTAGAAATCTTCCTAATTCCTAAATCCTCTGTTAATTTCATTTTTAAGCTAATTTTTCTCTCTCTTCTCCCACATCATATGTTCTAGTCTTCTACCCATTAGCTACCATTTACGTAAAGCATTCAAACTCTTCCTAGTTCCTACCATGAAACTCAAAAACATATATTCTAAATTCCAGGTAATTTAATAACTTGTATCATTTGTTCATGTTTCCATTAAATTTTCTAATGATTTTTGATTTACTAGAAGATATGATTTGATGTGTAATTGTATGCAATGAAAATTACGATTGTCCATTTGTTATGTTGGGTGCACAAGTTAGCGAGTAGCATTAGTCATTTACGTAATTACATTAATGTTTGGTAAAATCAGTTGTATGTTGTTTCTCCTTAATTGTTATTATGCAAAAGTCATTCTCAAAAAACTACTCAAACTAGTTATTTTATTTTTAATAATATGTCTACCAAATATGTTTTGATTGTTTTACCACATGTAAAAGTCAAATGAAAGTCAAATAGCTGGAAAGTCAAGCATGTAGGAAGATGAGATTAATTAAAAAAATTGTTAATAGAAAAGTTGGTAATTAATTTACCGATCCAATATTTTGCATGATGATCAATGTTGAAATGGCAAAACAGAACCTCTTTGTTCTTGAATAACACATTTTTGTTAAATTGGTGCAGGCATTCAGGTGGAAGAGTCTGCTTAAGGGGTCTGATGATGTTGATGGGGCGGCTTATGTAAAAGGGTCTAAGAATGTGAAGAAACCATCATGGATGACGCCTATCTCACACGGGTATCATATTATCGAGGCTCGATCGTGGGAGGAGAAGAGGATGAATTAGAGAAGCCAGACAATGTTGTTGTGCAAAGAGAAGAAAAGGAGGATCTTGAGTTGTGGTTTTATGGTGTTTCGGATGCTAGTATTGGTGATGGCATCAGTAGGTACTTGCAGTCAAATTTTTTTGACAGGAAATTGAAGGAGGTATGAATGTATGGTCATATATCATCTTTCAATTATACCTTTGCTATGTGAGACCCTTTTGATTGTGTCATGTGTGTAATGATTTGAGGCGTAGTGTGTTAGCATGAGAGCATTCAAGGAACTCCTAGTTGATTCCTGATGTTGTTTATAAGACAAACTTAATTACTGTAAGTTAGGTACCATGATCATGTGTTTGACAAGATTATATTGATGTTGAACTATAGTCTCTGGTGGTCAAAGTTAGCAAAGACACGATGAGAAAGGCTTACCTTGATGCAAGAGCGAAGCTTGAGAGTGATAAACCGGAGAAGATGGTAAAATCTGCATCTGCAATGATTTTCAATGGTGAGAAGATTGTGATGGCGCAGATGGGTGGTTATAGAGCTATTGTGTGCAGAGATGGTATGGCTCATCAGTTGCGGGTTACACATCAGTATACCGGAAAAAGGCATTGGCCTCACCGGCTGATTTCAGGCATGAGCTACTTGTCTACTTCAATTCTATTTAGTTGTTTGTATGTGGAACTTGGAAAACTATTTTTTTGGTGATAAACAGTTGGAGAAGGTTGATGATACTACTTGTCTACTTCCATGGCTAAATGCATGGTGTTCATGTCTCTCATAATGCAATATCGAATTAACTTGTCTTTTCATTGCTGCATAACAGGGGCAATGCGCATTCCAAGAGTACGCATACAAGCATGTCATTCAGGGAGTGAATCAAGCAGAAAACAGACAAATAGTTTAGAATTGATTGCTGCTTCTGAAAGAATAGATTCAGAAACTGAATTCATTATCTTAGCAAGTAATGGTATTTTTGAGGTAACATTATATCATTATACCCTTACATAAATATAACCATAGTGTTTGTGAAATGTAATACTATTGTCTGCAAAAATTCTCTGCCTGAAATTTTCCCTTGCCTATCAGGTAATGAGGAATCAAGAGGCAGTGGACCTCATCAGGCACATAGATGATCCTCAAGAAGCTGCCGAGTGCTTAGCAAGGGAAGCGTCAATGAGAATGAGCAGGAGCAATATTTCTTGCCTAGTTATTCGTTTTGATTAGTACAGGGTACATATTTAATGCCTTTTGATATACGATCATATCAGATGATTAACTGTAAGTCTGTAACTAGAGGTGGATTGACGAGCATATGTATAAGCAGTGAACTGTGGGTTTTCTCTCTTAAATTTCATATAATAAGATTAAGAAACCAAGATTTCAATTTACCAAAAGAATCATGAACTATTTTAATTAGGAACAGTTTCAAAAAGTAAAATCAATTGAGTGCAAAGCAGGTGAAGAGAACATATTGTGCCACGAATGAAAAGATTTTAGCTGTACCCTTCAGCATCATGGCTTCTTTCACCCTGTTTCGATATAATAGGCAAATAATAATATACTTTCCTCTGAAATTACCATGATCAAGTAGGTTTGTACAATGTACATTCATATTCAAGATGTATAGTTATCAAGGCTTTACAACAAGATACCTACATGTCGCAATACATTGGGCAAAGCAATACATGCAACAGATTGTGAACTTTACAAACTCGGGCATTAACATTTCCTGCAAAGGCCTGTGATTTCTCACGGTGAAGAATCATTAAGTGAACAAAATCATGACTTTCATCCCAAGAATTGATCATCCTTTTCATGTGGCCAACTTCTTTTCGCTATTCTTACTTCGGAAATGAGACAACAAAGAGAAGGGTCGAGAAGCTGCAATTGAGAAACAGAGTTTAACTTCAAGAACATATAGTCTATGTAATAATGAAGGATAAAACTTGATGAAAGACGTGTGCTTACACTTCTTTGGAGTAGTACCAGCACTTGAGCTCTCCTCTTGAATCAGAAGATTTTTCACGGTAAAAGCTGCTCAATACAATCAAGAGAATAAAGGTAAGTGGGAACAGGGGATATGTTCACACTGTGGACACCCGAATAATAATAAGAGGAAGTATAGAGGTCAGGCAGTAAAAATCAAGCAGCAGAAGATGAATTATATAGATGCATGTTCGACAAAGGGCTAGACTACATATACTGATGTGTGCTGTTTCTGTTATTTTTGGTTAATTATGGCCTTAAGTCAATCCTTGAAAGTATACTATACCAAATGAATATTTCATAACTGAATTATTTCCAAAAAAAAAATCAGCATATATCTTTGAATTGGCGTATACTTTCCAATATTCACAATTGATGTGTAGCTATAATACCTATATTCTAGCCTATTGATCATTATGAAAGTGGCATAGATATGACCGCAAAAGCAAATACAATTATCATCAAGACAACTGCATTCTATCAAGGTAAGACTTGAATATACCTTCACTCGAAGAACCATTCAATGCACTATCATCAGCTTCAGAGCCATCAAGAGTTACTTTATCTGACTCAATATTACGTTCACTTGCTGTCGAGTTCTTCTTTCCAAACATCAACAGCCTTTTAAAACCTTTTGACGATTTCCCTGAATCAGCTTCTGACATAACAAGACCTGGCTTATGAGCATCAGATACATGTACTTTTGTTGTCTGCATGGCTGTCGCTTCCATTTCTATGCTTGTAGGTGGTGCTTTCCCATATACCGACTCAGACATGCAGGGGTCCTCCAGGGAGGAGACCCGGGCATAGGGTGGCTGATATGGTTTTTTGTGAGTGGCAACTTGGGATAAATCTTGTGACACCTTTTCTGTCTGTCAGCAGAGAATGTTAGCTATACAAAACGAGGCAGCTAACTAACGATTCAACACTCACTTTAAAATAAGAGGGGGGGGAGAAGAATATAATATCAGAGATGAAAGAAATCTTTAAAATGTCATAGGAGAGTCAAACATGCAATGTTCAAGACAGCAACCATCTGCCATGGTTAGCAATCTCAACCCATATCTCTTGTAAAGGAACTCAGATAATATTGATGTAGGCATAAGAGAAAAAAATCAAAGCAACAACAAATGACAATGTAATATTTACTCAGCATTTACAGATCAACATCTTGAAAGGGATTTTCTTTTTAAATTACCTCATCCAAGCAGGTATGAGATTGCTCTTTAACAGCACAATTTGATGTTTCTCGGTCAACTTCTATCACATTAATAGGTGAAGCTGGTAAAGGGACGGCTGCATCTTCCTCTGGTTTAACAGCTTGATCGTAGGCATGAGATTGCATCACTTGGCCGCTCATATCGTCTTCAGGTGCATGGGAGATAGGTGCAGAAGGTTTCTCACATTCGAGCATTACAACTGTCTTTTCAACTACTGTGCTGTCATCATCCCTATGGAGTGGAATTTTGGCACTGTCCCTATTCACCTTAGCACTTGCAAGACCACTAGAATGTGTTTTGTCATTTGACTTCTGGGACATCTCTTTAGCAATTTGAAGACCACTAGAATGTGTTTTGTCATTTGACCTCTGGGACATCTCTTTAGTAGGTTTTCTCTGTACAGTTACTGTGGATGCCTTGGATGTTCTAACCTTCAGTTCTGGACGAGCTGAAGATTTTTCTTTGTCTTCAATGGATGTGGCAGGCATCTTTTTTTCAGGAGTTTTATATCTTGCGACTACTTCAGCACTTCCAGTCTTTCCTGAGGATATGCGATGGATTGTGACTTTTGGCTCAGATAATCTTCTGATCCTGGATATTGTTGCCTTTGAATCTGGTGTAGCACCAGTATTCTCTTCCTTTCTCGACCTCAGTGATGAAGCTGACCTAGTTAGCCTATTTGCACTGGTGCTACTTACATTATTTAATCTCCCAGATTTGGAAGCTTTACTGGTATCAGGTGAAACCTTGGATCTAAATCTGAACGTGGATCTCTGTAATGGTGAACTTGACCCAGGCTCCGTGTCACTAAATTTTGAGCCTTTCTGAGAGACAGGTGAAAGCTTGGGCATTTGTTTTTTTGCCTGTTGTGATGGCAATGCTGACTGAGCAGGATTGGCGCCACTTTTAGCAGCAATTCTCTTTTGCCTCTCTAACTTTAATGCTTCTAATCTTTTCATTTGCTCTTCTTCCTGAAAATAGATTAAGAGCAAAAGGTTCTTTTAAAGGCGGCTTTTAGTCCTTTTACCAGTTTCCTTTATCACAAAATAAATTTTTAATGAAACATTACAGGATTATCAGCAAGCTAAAGGACTTTGGCACAACGTAAAGAATATACCCTAGAAAAATCCAGAGAATGCGAATTATTTTTTTTAAAATGAACATAGAAAGCTATTCTGTTATGTCGTTTAAAATATAGGATTTCACCATAAATCCAGGAAAAAAAAACACACACACAGGGGTATTGCAATAAGGATCCTAGACACTGACATGCAACAGTACAAAACAAGGGCAATCATTTGATTAATAGACAACTCAGGCCTGCAAGGAGAAAAACTGTACCTTTTCCTTCTTCAGCTTTTGCAGATCAGCCTTATAAGCTCGTAGTTTTTCTGCACGTGCTCGTGCATCTTCAGCAGGGCTCAACTTAGAAGGTTTTTCTCTTCTTGTACCCAATGAGGTTCTTCTCTCAGCCTTTAACTTTTGATCTTTGACTGCCTTCCTTGACCCTCCTTTGGCATCCATGGCAACTTCCTTCTTACCGCTCAGTTTGGCAGCATCTTTAATTTGAGCCTGCATCTCACAGTACATAGCTGGGTCATAACCATTAGGTTGATCCTCCGCTGCACGATTAGGCATTAAATTTAAAACATTTGGCTCATAAGTGTGGTCATCTGTCTTGTGAAGCACCGAAGGGAGCTCACAATCCATATCCATAGCTGTCCTTCCATCACCTGTAACTTGATCTAGTGTGCCTGCTCTTTGCAAGACCATGAACGACTCATCAGGCATGCCATGTGATGAGCCCTTATTATTGGTATGAGATGAACCCTGAAACCCATTTCTGATGACAGGATCTAGGGAAGGGTCCCACATGGCTGTCAGCTTTTCTTGTTTATTGAGCACATATTCCAGGTTTGTATCCATAGATCTCCTGTGAGCACCACTTCGACCCCCTGATTCCATAAATTTCAGATCTCTTTTGTTATTATGCCTTAAGTTTGGATCTTGACCATAGCTCAGCATTTGATCATCCATAGGTTTCCGCAAGCAGGTTGCATCTCCAGCAATGTCAACACTTTCACCCATATCTACATTATGATTTTCACTGATGTTATGCATTCCAAGAGCAGACGAGTCATCCTTGATAGAAGATTGTCGTTTTCTTCCTTGATCATTACCTTCCATTGAAAACACGCTACTCCTTGCAGAATTATTATCTTCATCAGCATCCGTTAGTAAGAAGTTCTGGAAAGCTTGCCAGTGTCCATCATCTCCTGCCTGTCCAGACACTCTTTCTTCCTTAGCTCTTGCTTTTCGTGGATCATCCGACTTCAAACAGACTCCTTTTTTTTTCAATTTTTTTGTTTCATCAACCTTCATTTGCCCCTCATCATTAGTTCCAGAATCTGAACTAGATTGTGGATCACTACTATCTGAAGAGCCTTGCTTCGTAGAAGTAATATAGTTAAGGTTCCGGATTACAACAGTTTTCTTTCTGGAAGTCTTGCTACCTTTATTCTTGGGTTTCATACTCGTTAAATCTTCTTCATCTGTAACATCATTGTGCATTTTTCCGGAAGCATCTATCTCTTGGGTTTCAAATTCAGCACTCGTGTCTCGGCCATCCATTGAATGTCTTCTCTGTCTAGCTTTCCGATCAGAATGTAATCTTGAATCATCATGTGCCGAATAAGGTGGCTGGAAATAAGGGCTCTGTCCCATATAGTTCTGATAGTAAGGCATACCCTGCATGGGATATGGTTGAAAAACTGGCATGCCATTTGCTTGAGGATGCAATTGCCAGGGTGGGTACATAGGATGTGGGAACTGGCCAGGGCTGTACTCATGTGGGTTCAAATGTACTTGATCTGCTAAATTATTAGGTATGAGTAGGAGTATTTTTTTTTTTTAAAGAAAATGGTAAGAGAATTAGAAACATCTAGGCTACCAAGAAACATGATGAAACTACTTTGAAGAAGAAACTAGCAGTAAAGAAATATCCAGACACCTATCAAGCCAACAGAAGTTTCTGCTCCCAAAAAAAAAAAAAAAAAAAAAAAAGTGTAACATTACCAACGGGGAATATGGCATGGAATAGCGCGCATACTGCAGAAGACAAACAAGCTATACGTACATTCACTGAGCAGTCAGCACGATTTCAGCCCAAATAGGGTAGGATATTCACAACATATAGAATCAAACATATGA